AGACACACAGGCACACAGACAGACAGACACAGACAGACACACAGACACACAGGCACACACACAGACAGACACACAGACAGACACACAGACAGACACACAGACATACAGACAGACACACAGACAGACACACAGACAGACACACACACACACACACAGACAGACACACAGACAGACACACACACACAGACAGACACACAGACACACAGACAGACACACACACACAGACAGACACACAGACACACAGACAGACACACACACACAGACAGACATCAGAAAGAGCAGAGTTCGATGTTCTCGTCGTCTCTGAGATCATATGGTTGATGCACGTCAATATCTCTCAAAAGTCTCTGATTGCCCTCAACATCTCTGCAAGCGAGCAGAACTACAGCACAAAATATCACTCACACACACACACACACACACACACACATACACACAAAGAAAGATAATGCCCTCGAGCACACACACATACACATACACACACACACACAACGAAAGATAATGCCCTCGAGCACACACACACACACACACACACACAAAGAAAGATAATGCCCTCGAGCACACACACATTTAATGTCACACTCCGCTTTGAGTTTATTCTCTCTGAAGCGGTTCATTTTAACATGGGTGTTGGCGGTAATTGTGTATAACGTGTGTCGGGACTGAACCTTCACTGCTTTAACAATGTAAATCTACAGCAGCTTTCACTGGTATACTCTAAAAAAACACATTTTTCGGAACAAAGATTATTAGAGTTTGTTTTACAAGAAAATAGTATATCTAAATCTAGATAATATATATTACAAGATAATATATCAGTCTTTCATCTTCAAAATTTCATGCCTAAATCAATGTATAACTTGTCGTTTCTTTGTACATATTTTTGAAATTCACTAGCAATTTCTTCACCAAATCCTACCTCAATTTTTTTTTCAGTGTAATCTACATGTTTTTTTGGGGGGGTCTATTGAAAGAATTGGTTCTAATTTCCTTAATATCAATGTAAAATCCCTTACCTAACAATGACATCACTCTACAGGAAGTGACATCATTTTGGAGGGAAATCAACAGCACAAACATTAGGACGTGTTATCAATAAAACTGATGGATTCTGTGATGTTACTGCAGTCGTTTGGGGAAGCAGAGGATATTATCAAATATAAAAATTAACTTCAAGTTAAAGTCCTCATGCAAATTAAATTTAGCTCTTTATTTACATCCGGTTCATTTTGTGTACATTATCAAGTTATAATTAATAAAGTTTTTTTTTTTTATTTAATAAAACTTTTAATACATTTTTTGTGTGTGATCATACTGTGAAATATTGTGACCATTGAAAGAAATGCCTCCAGGATTGCGGTGTCTGACCTTCGTTCTCGTCCTTGATGGGGAAGCAGAGTATGTTCCTGGTCCTGAAGCCCGTGCTGTCGTCCACACCGCGGTAAAACAGAGGATGGGAATACGCATCCTTGATGTTGAGGATCTTCCCAGTGGTGGCGACATGACCAGCGATTCCCTGATCCGCCGGGATACGAAACTCCTTCTGTTTATTACAGAGAGAGAGACACTTACTCAGCTCTATAAAAACACATACTGTACACACACACACACACACTCTCTCTCTCTCTCTCTCTCTCTCTCTCTCTCTCTCTCTCTCTCTCTCTCACACACACACACTCACTCTCTCACACACACACTCATCGCACCTCGTCATCGCTCACGACTCCTCCATCAAACACTTTGGCCACCAGTTCATGACTGACTCGATCCAGTAGGAACACAGAACAACTGAGAGATAAAGAGAGAAAACACTAAAATAACACTGTGAAACCTGAATAAATAAATCTGTTTCATCTCTGTCTGCATTAGACGTCTGTGTGTGTGTGTATAATCTGTTTGATTAAATGTTACAATATTTGACTGGAGGTAATTGATATTTATGAGGCTGCTGTTCTTGTCATGTGAACAGTTGCAAGGCTGGAATTGGTTTGGACGAAACCCAAAACGATCAGAGGCGTAATTAAGCGTGTGTGTGTGTGTGAGAGTGTGTGTGTGTGTGTGTGTGTGCCTCACATCTCAGCGTTGCTCAGGTTTCTGGCCTCGACGATGATCTCCTGCAGTAATACAGACACGTCATCTGAACGAGAGAGAGACACACAGTTAAATAACTGCATCATTCCTCATGAAGTCTTTAAATGTGAAGCTGCTTCATCACACGGAGTCACAGCTTCATCCCGCATCCACACGAAAGCTGAAAGCTGTTTAATCTCGACGTGAAAACCTTCTATAATGTGACTGGAATCTATTTATGAGTTTGATTTTATTGCTGTAATCTTTTATTACATTAACCAGCATTAAATGACTGAATAACTATTGATGAAAGATGCGACAGCAGCCTGTATCAAACTACAGATAAACATTACCCATCATCCCACACGGCGTCGATGTCATCAGCGAAATGACTTTTAGATATTTATATATACTCATATATTCAACTTTGTATAATGAGCTGGTGATAATGTAGATACATTTTGCAAAAAAAATCAAGTAGTTTATATTTTGAGGTGATGACAGATGACATATAATGAAGACAAACAAGTTATAAAAAGACATAATAATGTCACAGATGATTCATTCACAATCAGACTATGAATATGAATTATGAGAGTAAATGTTAAACATTCAGATTTATTCATGCGAGTTTGACTCACCAAGGTGTGTGAAGAGATTCTTAGCCACTTGAAGAAGAGCCTGAAGAAAGATAAGAGTCAAACATCAAGAACGACACAATGACAAATGTGTGTGTGTGAGTGTGTGTGTGTGTGTGAGGTGTGTAAGTGTGTGAGTGTGTGTGTGTGAGTGTGTGTATGAGGGTGTGTAAGTGTGAGTGTGTGTGTGTGTGTGTATGTTTGTGTGTGTGACCAGATCAGATGTTGGACCTGCGCCTAGACACGACCACAACGCATGATGTAGTCAGCCGGATCCGGGCCGTATCCAGATCAGATGTTGGACCTGCGCCTAGACACGACCACAACGCATGATGTAGTCAGCCGGATCCGGGACGTATCAAGATCAGATCCAAGCCGTGTCTAGGCGCAGGTCCAACATCTGATCTGGATACGGCCCGGATCCGGCTGACTACATCATGAGTAGTGGTCGTGGTTAGGCGCAGGTCCTCCATCTGATCTGGTCACACACACAAACATACACACACACACACACACACACACACACTCACACTTACACACCCTCATACACACACTCACACACACACACTCACACACTTACACACCTCACACACACACACACACTCACACACACACATTTGTTGGTGGACCTGCGCCTAGACATGAGCATCAACTCATGATGTAGTCAGCCGGATCCGGGCCGTATCCAGATCAGATGGAGGACCTGCACCTAGACACGACCACAACACATGATGTAGTCAGCCGGATCCGGGCCGTATCCAGATCAGATGGAGGACCTGCGCCTAGACATGACCACAACTCATGATGTAGTCAGCCGGATCCGGGCCGTATCCAGATCAGATGGAGGACCTGCACCTAGACACTACCACAACTCATGATGTAGTCAGCCGGATCCGGGCCGGATCCAGATCAGATGGAGGATCTGCGCCTAGACACGACCACAACTCATGATGTAGTCAGCCGGATCCGGGCCGTATCCAGATCAGATGGAGGACCTGCGCCTAGACACGACCACAACGCATGATTTAGTCAGCCGGATCCGGGCCGTATCCAGATCAGTTGGTGGACCTGCGCCTAGACACGACCACAACTCATGATGTAGTCAGCCGGATCCGGGCCGTATCCAGATCAGATGGAGGACCTGCGCCTAGACAGGACCACAACGCATGATTTAGTCAGCCGGATCCGGGCCGTATCCAGATCAGATGGAGGACCTGCGCCTAGACACGACCACAACGCATGATTTAGTCAGCCGGATCCGGGCCGTATCCAGATCAGTTGGTGGACCTGCGCCTAGACACGACCACAACGCATGATGTAGTCAGCCGGATCCGGGACGTATCAAGATCAGATCCAAGCCGTGTCTAGGCGCAGGTCCAACATCTGATCTGGATACGGCCCGGATCCGGCTGACTACATCATGAGTAGTGGTCGTGGTTAGGCGCAGGTCCTCCATCTGATCTGGTCACACACACAAACATACACACACACACACACACACACACACACTCACACTTACACACCCTCATACACACACTCACACACACACACTCACACACTTACACACCTCACACACACACACACACTCACACACACACATTTGTTGGTGGACCTGCGCCTAGACATGAGCATCAACTCATGATGTAGTCAGCCGGATCCGGGCCGTATCCAGATCAGATGGAGGACCTGCACCTAGACACGACCACAACACATGATGTAGTCAGCCGGATCCGGGCCGTATCCAGATCAGATGGAGGACCTGCGCCTAGACATGACCACAACTCATGATGTAGTCAGCCGGATCCGGGCCGTATCCAGATCAGATGGAGGACCTGCACCTAGACACTACCACAACTCATGATGTAGTCAGCCGGATCCGGGCCGGATCCAGATCAGATGGAGGATCTGCGCCTAGACACGACCACAACTCATGATGTAGTCAGCCGGATCCGGGCCGTATCCAGATCAGATGGAGGACCTGCGCCTAGACACGACCACAACGCATGATTTAGTCAGCCGGATCCGGGCCGTATCCAGATCAGTTGGTGGACCTGCGCCTAGACACGACCACAACTCATGATGTAGTCAGCCGGATCCGGGCCGTATCCAGATCAGATGGAGGACCTGCGCCTAGACAGGACCACAACGCATGATTTAGTCAGCCGGATCCGGGCCGTATCCAGATCAGATGGAGGACCTGCGCTTAGACACTACCACAACTCATGATGTAGTCAGCCGGATCCGGGCCGTATCCAGATCAGATGGAGGAACTGCGCCTAGACACGACCACAACGCATAATGTAGTCAGCCGGATCCGGGCCGTATCCAGATCAGATGGAGGACCTGCGCCTAGACACGACCACAACTCGTGATGTAGTCAGCCGGATCCTGGCCGTATCCAGATCAGTTGGTGCACCTGCACCTAGACACGACCACAACACATGATGTAGTCAGCCGGCTCCGGGCCGTATCCAGATCAGATGGAGGACCTGCGCCTAGACACGACCAGAACTCATGATGTAGTCAGCCGGATCCGGGCCGTATCCAGATCAGTAGGTGGACCTGCGCCTAGACACGACCAGAACTCATGATGTAGTCAGCCGGATCCGGGCCCTATCCAGATCAGATGGAGGACCTGCGCCTAGACACGACCACAACTCGTGATGTAGTCAGCCGGATCCGGGCCGTATCCAGATCAGTTGGTGGACCTGCGCCTTGACACGACCACAACTCATGATGTAGTCAGCCGGATCCGGGCCGTATCCAGATCAGATGGTGGACCTGCGCCTAGACACGACCACAACTCATGATGTAGTCAGCCGGATCCGGGCCGTATCCAGATCAGATGGTGGACTTGCGCCTAGACACAACCACAACACATGATGTAGTCAGCCGGATCCGGGCCGTATCCAGATCAGATGGTGGACCTGCGCCTAGACACGACCACAACACATGATGTAGTCAGCCGGATCTGGGCCGTATCCAGATCAGTTGGTGGACCTGCGCCTAGACACGACCACAACTCATGATGTAGTCAGCCGGAACCGGGCCGTATCTAGATCAGTTGGTGGACCTGCGCCTAGACACGACCACAACGCATGATGTAGTCAGCCGGATCCGGGCCGTATCCACATCAGATGGTGGACCTGCGCCTAGTCACGACCACAACGCATGATGTAGTCAGCCGGATCCGGGCCGTATCCAGATCAGTTGGTGGACCTGCGCCTAGACACGACCACAACGCATGATGTAGTCAGCCGGATCCGGGCCGTATCCACATCAGATGGTGGACCTGCGCCTAGACACGACCAGAACTCATGATGTAGTCAGCCGGATCCGGGCCGTATCCAGATCAGTTGGTGGACCTGCGCCTAGACACGACCAGAACTCATGATGTAGTCAGCCGGATCCGGGCCGTATCCAGATCAGATGGAGGACCTGCGGCTAGACACGACCACAACGCATGATGTAGTCAGCCGGATCCGGGCCGTATCCACATCAGATGGTGGACCTGCGCCTAGACACGACCACAACGCATGATGTAGTCAGCCGGATCCGGGCCGTATCCAGATCAGTTGGTGGACCTGCGCCTAGACATGACCAGAACTCATGATGTAGTCAGCCGGATCCGGGCCGTATCCAGATCAGTTGGTGGACCTGCGCCTAGACACGACCAGAACTCATGATGTAGTCAGCCGGATCCGGGCCGTATCCAGATCAGATGGAGGACCTGCGCCTAGACACGACCACAACTCATGATGTAGTCAGCCGGATCCGGGCCGTATCCAGATCAGTTGGTGGACCTGCGCCTAGACACGACTACAACGCATAATGTAGTCAGTCGGATCCGGGCCGTATTCAGATCTGATGGAGGACCTGCGCCTAGACACGACTACAACGCATAATGTAGTCAGTCGGATCCGGGCCGTATTCAGATCTGATGGAGGACCTGCGCCTAGACACGACCACAACTCGTGATGTAGTCAGCCGGATCCGGGCTGGATCCAGATCTTATGGAGGACCTAGACTCGACTAGACTAGACTCTCCCCTGTGAAGACCATCGGCACTGATCGACGCGACAACCATCGGCACTGATCCTCAACAAACTAGTCTCCATGTGTGTGAGTGTGTGTGTGTGTGAGTGTGTGTGTGTGTCAGTATGTATATATATATATATACCTGCTTCAGCTGCAGTGATGAGCACTAAAGCATTTGCATTACGGAAGTCTTAAAGGTACAGTAGCAGAAACGTATTCTCACCTGACACTCAAACTTGAGCTTCTGCTCCTTCTGGAAGGCCAGTGTGCTGGTGAGAACTGTCGACGTGTAACAGAAACAGTGTTGAATCACGTGCTCGTCGGCGTCCGTGTACCTGAAAACACACCGGGAACACACACAATAGTACTGCATCAAAAACACATACAAATTATGATTAAATCTGAGGTCAAGAGGTCAAACTAAATATTATATGAGCCTTTTCATTTTACACACACACACACTCACTCACACACACACCACAGCGTTTAAATGTCCTCTAGAACTGAAATATGAAAAGAACGACAGAACGAAATGAGACAAAGAGATGGAGAGATGAAACCGAGAGAAATTCAATATGAAATATCAAACGGTCAGATCTCGGCGTGAGGAATTTCATTTCCTTTATCAACGCGAGACGCCACGTTCAGTCCAAATGCGCACACACACACACACACACACACACACACACACTCAATCTCCGTCTGCATCGTGTCATTCGTTCAGACGCCAGAGTTTATTAGCACACAAACTCTGATAAAAATCTGATGGAATACCAGTCAAAAGTTTTAAAAGTAGAAACTGTGATACACTACAATTCAAAAGTTTGGTGTCAGTAAAATTATATAATATATGCTTTAATACTTTTATTTGACAGGGATGCATTAAATTGATCTAAAATTTTTGCACATGAACACAAACAGGTTCAACTATAATAGCTAAAAATAAATATTATATGAGCTGTTTCATTGTACTTTCTATCAAAACTTGGGATGTGTGAATACTGTTTAAAACCATGATTTATGGGTTTTTGTAATTTGTTGCAGCAATAAACGTTTAAAAGAAAACATCAATGAACATCTAGGTCAAAAGTTAATTAAAAATAGAACAGAATGGGTTACAAATTGATCTTAAATTAAGTTCAAAACTTTCACATTGATTATTTTTTCACAAATATATATTCTAATATTACCATAAATGCTAGTATATACAGTATAATATATAATAAAATTTGATATAAGTGACAGTAAAGACATTTTCAATGTTACACGAGATTCTATTTCAAATAAATGTTCAGATTTATTTAATTTTGACCAATTCTAAGAATTTTGAAACTTTGATTACTTTGACTTCTGCTAGGACCAATATTCAGGATTGGCTCATCAGGACAGGTTTATTAATGAACACAAAAAACCCTGTGTATGATGTTTGCAAAACAGTTAGTAGAGATGACAGATTCAAATGTATTTCTGAGAGGGGAAGATCTTGAAGTTATTAAAGAGTTAACGTATCTTGGGGTTACTACTCTAACTTTTAAAAGTCACGTAAAAAAGTTGTCAAATATTGTACAATTTAATACATGAGCCCATTTTTGAAAGTCGGTGCTGACAGGTTGTATTTACATTCAATGTTTTATTCACATATTCAGTATTATTTTAATAGTTGGTAACTCATAAGTGACTCTAAAGTTAATAGAATCACTGTATAAGAAGGCGATAAAAGTCTTGGATAAAAAAAAGCTCATTTCATTACTGTAACATTCTAAAAAAAAAAACTATTTATTGAGTTTTGAAAATTAAAAAAAATTCAAATATCCCTGTTTAATTTATAAGGTCTGGCATGGGCTTGCCTCTGTTAAACGAGTAAACCAGAGGACAGATTGTGGCATTGGTACCGGGTCTGTCATTAGATTGGATTTGTATTTTTTATACTTAAGTTCGTTAACATGCTTTATCCCAATCAAATAAATAATCAAACGTTGTTCTTTTGAACTTTCTATTCATCAAAGAATCCTACAAAATAAAAAGTATCACAGTTTCCACAAAAACATTAACTGTTTTCAACACTGATAATAATCATAACTGTTTCTTGAGCATCAGATCCTCATATCAGAGTGATTTCTGAAGGATCATGTGACACTGAAGACTGGAGTAATGATGCTGGAAATACAGCTTTGATCACAGGAATAAATTACACTTTACTGTATATTCACATAGAAAACAGAAGATTTACACTGGAGTAATATTTCATATTTTGACTGTATTTTTTATCAAAAGCATGATCCTGTGTTGATTAGCACACCTCAGTCCCCCGAGCTTGTTGAAAGTGCACGCTAGCGCCACCACCTGTCCCCTGGCTTGACTGATGACAGGAACACACAGCATCGAGTTCGGCTCGAACCCCAATAAGCTGCTCAATAACCCCCGCTCCTCCTGCAGACACACAACCAGCATACGGGGATCAGTGTGTGTGTGTGTGTGTGATGGGTAGGATTAGAGGTCGGGTTAGTGTGTGTGTGTATGTGAGTGTGTGTGTGTGTGTGTGTGTGTGTGAGATGGGTAGGTTTAGGTGTCAGGTTAGTGTGTGTGTGTGTGAGTGTGTGCGTGTGTGTGTGTGTGTGTGTGTGTGTGTGTGTGTGTGTGTGTGTGTGTGTGTGATGGGTAGGTTTAGGGATCAGGTTAGTATAAGGGGACAGAATATACAGTTTGTACAGTATAAAAACCATTACAAATCTCCTTACAATTATAGCAAGACAAACCTGCGTGTGTGAGTGTCCGTGTGAGTGAGTGTCCGTGTGTGTCCGTGTGAGTGAGTGTCCGTGTGTGTGTGTGTGTGTGTGTGAGTCTGATCCGGATTAAAGTGAAGGATAGTGACAGTTCCTCTGCCAGCTGAAGACAGCTATTTAACACAGATGATCTGTCTGTGGTCATAATTAGCTGGTTTTGGAGAGCTGTCAGCTGGGAATGAATGAAAAGCATTATTACTAGCAACAGCTGTGTGTGTGTGTGTGTGTGTGTGTGTGTGTGTGTGTGTGTGTGTGTGTGTGTGTGTGTGTGTGTGTGTGTGTGTGTGTGTGTGTGTACCGACCTGGCTGACGTCCTGTAATGTAATGGATTTCTTTGTCTCCACCACCTGCCCGAAGCGACCGAACATGAGCTTCAGAGAGAGAGAGAGACAATTTTCACACACACATTTATATTTATGTTTTTTTGCAGATGCAATTATCCCAAGCGACTTGCATTGGATTCAAGGTATATGTTTTATTTGATTCAAACCCATGACCTTGCAGCAGCTGTAGTTACAGAACACAAAATAGGAACAGAAAAGTAAAACTTACTGGAAAACTGATTTCCTCTTCCAAAACTTTATCACCAACAACCTGCAGAGAAAATACACTGTTTATCAATGTGTGTGTGTGTGTGTGTGTGTGTGTGAGAGAGTAAGTGTGAGTGTGTGTGTGTGTGTGTGTGTGTGTGTGTGTGTGTGTGTGTGTGTGTGTGTGTGTGTGTGTGTGTGTGTGTGTGTGTGTGTGTGTGTGAGAGAGAGTAAGTGTGAGTGTGTGTGTGTGTGTGTGTGTGTGTGTGTGTGTGTGTGTGTGTGTGTGTGTGTGTGTGTGTGAGAGAGAGTAAGTGTGTGTGTGTGTGTGTGTGTGTGTGTGTGTGAGAGAGTAAGTGTGTGTGTGTTACCTGACAGAAGAGTTGGTGATTGTCTTCAGACACCAGCAGTAAACAGCAGCACTGCGACTGAGTTTCTTTCTGCAACTGAAATAGAAATTCACACACATCAGACATGAGCACCTTGTGTCCGGTCACACCGACACAAAACACGTTCATTATCAAACAAAAACTTTTGTGTAAATTTGTTTTCAATTTTACTAGTACAACTATTAATCGTTGGAGCCGTAAAATCATAATAAATATCTTTATTTGTTAATGAAATATATGGCAAAAATGTACAGAAACCTTATAGAACTTTTTTTTATCAATCAATCAGATTTGATCAATTTCCTTGACATTTCCAGGCCTCACTATTTTAAACCATTTTCAATATTCTCTTTAAAAATTGTTCTAGTTTAACAGTTTGTTACTAGCTTTAACTATAACCACAGGAAAAATGAATATGAAAGCATTAATTTTTATACCTCAAAACATTGCACTTGTGACATGATAAATACACTAGAAAGATAGATCTAGGTATAATAAATTTACAAAAGGAAACAAAATGAGGACAGATAGGAAACTAAACGGCAGAATGATCTGACAGCCAGATATTAAATCAGACATTAATACAAACAAATCCAGCGTCATGTCAGGCGGAGCTGAAAGATGAACGAGAGAAAGAGAAAGGCAGACGGCTGTTCAGGCTCTTTACCTTCTGAAGTGATTTATCTGGAAAGGCGACAGCCAACATTCATTTTTCAAACCAGCAATTCGTAAAATGTTTTTCCGTAATTCAGATTGAACGGCGTAATGTAATCATATCATTTCAGGGAGTATTGCATTCTGGAGATTAAATTGTGTTAAGCAATAACTCAGAAAGGGGTTACGAATCAAAAACGTGTGTGTGTGTGTGTGTGTGTGTACAGCAGGTGTAGGTCATGCATGACACAACAAAAACAGAAAATAAAATGAAATAATTAAAAAAATAAATAATAATAATTAAAAAAAAAATGAAATAATTAAAAAAATAATAATAATTAAAAAAATTAAATTAAATAATTAAAAAAAATAAATTAAATAATTTTAAAAATAAAATTAAATAATTTAAAAATAAAATTAAATAATTTAAAAATAAAATTAAATAATTTTAAAAATAAAATTAAATAAATTAAAATTAAATAAAAAACTGCTTCAATTAAGTCACAAGTTCTGTTCAGGTCAACATGACTGTTAAAGCCTGGTTTCTCCCAAGGTTTTTTTCTCCATTCTGTCACCTGATGGAGTTTTGGTTCCTTGCCACTGTCGCCTTGGCTTTTGGCTTGCTTAGTTGGGGACATTTAACATTTAATATTCAATAATATTATTGATCTGCCTTACTTAAGGTGGACGTTGGCGCAATTTCTTTTAGAAACAAACTTTGTTATATTGTTTTCATGTTATCACTGTGAAGCGCTTTGATACAATCTGTATTGTAAAAAGCGCTATATAAATAAAGGTGACTTGACTTGACTTGTTATTCCATCATGTGATGTTAAGTTACAAAGAAAACAAATGCTAATTTTGCCAGCAGCCATATCACCCTGTAGCCCAAGACTGGTTGCCCACTAAAGCTAAGCAGGGCTGAGCCTGGTTAGTACCTGGATGGGAGACCTTCTGAGAAAACCAGGTTGCTGCTGGAAGAGGTGTTAGAGAGGCCAGCAGGGGGCGCTCACCCTGTGGTCTGTGTGTGTCCTAACGCCCCAGTATAGTAATGGGGACACTATACTGTCAAAGGAGCACTGTCCTTCAGATGAGACGTTAAACCGAGGTCCTGACTCTCTGTGGTCACAAAAAATCCCAGGATGTCTTTCGAAAGAGTAGGGGTGTAACCCCGGCATCCTGGCCAAATTTGCCCAGTGGCCTCTGTCCATCATGGCCTCCTAATCATCCCCATGTATATATATATACCAATTGGCTTCATCACTCTGTCTCCTCTCCACCAGTAAGCTGGTGTGTGGTGGGCGTTCTGGCGCAATATGGCTGCCGTCGCATCATCCAGGTGGATGCTGCACATTGGTCGTGGTTGAGGGGATTCCCCCTTCTATGTGAAGTGCTTTGAGTGTCCAGAAAAGCGCTATATAAATGTGATTAATTATTATTATTATTATTATTATCATGCTAAATTGTTGAAGGTCAACTTGGAACTCATATTTATACGTATTTATTTATACGTTTATTATTACTATTATTATTAAAAGCTTCTTAAAGGTGTTTTAGATGAATATAAGAATACAGCCCAGGGAAAGACACGGGTTTACCAACAGGGAAACTGTACCATGGAAGAATACACATATGGGAATACCAGGAGGGAATCACAACATATGGGCATCTAGCCCAGTACAGGGGCTGATGGAACGGGCATGCACACGAGTACTGGGCCTGGCGTCGGACGCCCTTGCCATGTGTGACTACCGAAGGATGCTGGAGGAAACTCCATCCAGGGTTCGGCAGGTGGGGACTCACCTGAAGAGCAAATAAGGCACTTGTATTCTCCTTTTAGAGGGGAATGGCACTGAAAGCTAGACACCAAGCCAGCCGTCCCGCACATCACCTGTTTATACCCAACATTCGGGAAGAAACCGGATCCATCCGGAGATTGTAGAATCTCACGAATGTGTTAGGTGTCGCCCAGCCATGAGGAAGCAACACCTCGAGTGGAGTGAGCCCTCAGCCCAAGGATGCATGACTCGCCGACTACGCCAAAACGACGTAAGCACAGTCAGGAGCGCTGTCTTGAGGGACGGGATCTTAAGCTCTACTGACTGCAGTGGCTCAAAGGGAGCTCTCTGTAGGGCTTAGCAAGAGTGGATGAGGCATGGCTGAGGAGGATTCAGTCTCCTCGTGCATCCCAAGAAACTGATGACCAGGTCATGCTTTCCCAAAGACTCATTGTCTACTCAACTCAACTCTTATTTATAAAGCACTTTCAAAGCCATTATAATGGACCGAAGTGATGTGGGTTTCACTCGAGCCTGACGCTCACGATGGACCGGGACAGCATGGCAACTCAGGATCCGACTCAAACTGGGTTACTCTTCCCAAAGGGGGAAACACTGCCGAGTCTTCATCCCAAGAGGACTCAAGCTCCTCCACAGGACTAGACATTTAATTTAATATTCAACAATATTATTGATCTGCCTGCATTGACAGCATTATATGAGAACTGAACTGAGCTTCACGATGACATCACAGTTTTCTCCAGAGTGGCTGTATATGTATATATGTGTATGAATAAATTAATAAAGTTTTTTTTTTAACAACAAAAATTAACCACCACTGAACTTACTTAAGCCGGACTATGATGCTATTTTCTTCTAGACACAAACTTTGTTGCATTATTTTGCTGTTATCTCTGTTAAGCTGCTTTGAAACACTCTGTACTGTAAAAAGCGCTGTATAAATAAAGCTGACTCGACTTGACGGGAGCCTCGAATGAGATGTTGGGTCCGTCATGAGAAGGATCTGCATCCTCACCGGGAAACTCCACAGCCTGAGATGTGCCGGAGAATCGGGAGATATCCCACTATAACTCTCCGATCACCCTGCGAATTAACTGAAGCGTTCCTCTTCAGTGCAGAATAACCAGAACGGGGAATAACAGATGGGCTCCACCTTTTTCAAGGAATTGGAGTCTCGATCTCAACATTGCGATGGTCATTTTCCCACACAGGGAACCCGATATACGCTGCCTCAGCAGTCTTACGTCCTAGAAATGTGAGGCCGTGATCATGGCTGTCAGGAAACTCACGGGTGGAATGCCATCTTTAAAAAGATGCAACTTGCTCTTTTAGGGAAACTGCTCTTTTATTAGTTTAAGCGCCCATGTGTGAAATCATTGCACTAAGCTGTGCACGTTTGCTCTTTCATGCAACACCTGCTGACTACGCCAACTCCCCAACCCAGAGATGCTTGTGTTCTCTGTCAGCTCACACACAAGTCGTCTGCAAAGCGCTGAAGTGTTCGACTGCTCGCTCCAAAGCGAAAAGCTGAGCTGCACGCTTGCTTATACCTGCATATACAGGGAACGGTTTGCCATACAAATCCCACTTGCCAATGTGCAATGGCTTGTTTTTGCTCTCAGGCGAGATCCCACTGCGCCAGTCAGTTCTTGCGTAACGTGTGTGTAAGAGAGAGAGTGAATGTGAGAGTGAGATTGTGTGAGTGTTTGTGAATGTGTGTGTGTGTGTGTGTGTGTGTGTGTGTGTGTGTGTGTGTGTGTGTGTGTGTGTGTGTGTGTGTGTGTTTGAAAGTCAAGTCAAGTCAAGGTACTTTTTATTGTCTCCCGTAGGATAAATTTGTCTTAGATGAGAGAACTGCTGCAACATCAACCCACCAAAAACAGCCATCATTCAAACTTTAATATTCATTCCACATAAAACATTCTTCCCGAAACTAAATAAAAACCCTATTCGTAAATAAAGAATCGGTCACTTATAGGTCATTATGTTTATTGCTGCATGCTGTTATGGAAATGAAAGTGTGTGTGTGTGTGTGTGTGTGTGTGACAGAGAGAGAGAGAGAGAGAGAGAGAGAGAGAGAGAGAGAGAGAGAGAGAGAGAGAGAGAGTGTGTGTGTGAGTGAGAGTGTGTGAGTGTGTGTGTGTGTGTGTGTGTGTGTGTGTGTGTGTGTGTGTGTGTGTGTGTGTGTGTGTGTGTGTGTGTGTGTGTGTGTGTGTGTGTGTGTGTGTGTGTGTGTGTCTGTGCGTGTTTGAGAGTGTGTGTGCGTGTGTGTGTGTTCTTTCCTTGTTTCAATGTGAATAAATACAGATAAGCTTTTATATTATGCGAATGATCCTTTAGGCACTGACCTGTAGAACGCAAATCTCTCTCTCTCTCTCACACTCACTCACACACACACACACACACACACACACACACACACACACACACACACACACACACATACACACTTTAATTTCCATAACAGCGTGCATCAATAAACATAATGACCTGTATAAGTGAGCACATAAATCAAATGCCCCGGTCCAAACGAGCACGGGTCAGACACGATAAAGCATCAGCTGATCCGGCTGCATTTGTTCTTGTGTCTTTCCATGGACTTCTATTGTGTTTATATCAAACTAATGGTGTTTTCTCTCCCCTAAATGTCACAGACACCAGCATAATGATAGATTTTGTAAAAGGGAGCACAGCTTTTTTTTCTTTTTTTTATTGCGTTGCCATGTGGTTGCTAGGGCATTACTTTTATATACATTTATATATTTTTTGGGTTTGTAATGAAAATGTCTAGTTAAAAAAATCAAGGACCACAATGGAAATAAGTTAATGCAACTTTACTGTGTTATTCTTGACAAATAAGTTTTGATACGTTTTATGTCGAATAAACTCAACTCAACTAGATGTGTCCTCTGTTCTGAGTAGTTCTGTGGTGTTCTGTGTGGTTACTAAGGTAGTTACTAAGCTGTGGTAAATACTTGTATTATGTCTTCACATGGTGTCTATGTAGGCAGCTCACTAGTTTTGGAAACCAATCCGTTCTCTCTCAGCACAAAGTCTAATGACAATGAATAGAAAACCGTGTGTGTGTGTGTGTGTGTTTGACTCGTGACTGAGGTTAATTGTTTTGTAAGTTGCTGTAATTGAATAGGAGTCCAGAGAGACTGTAGATCAGTGAAAGCACAGTGACCTTCACGAGGAGCTGAAGGCGTTGAGTTCTCAAGAACTACACAACACACACCGACTCTGTTGTTACTCAAGGACACGGGGATGAAAAGCCAGTTTTGTTCTCTTTTGAAAGCGTGTTTTTGTTTGTGTCGTTTACTTACATAGTTGATGACTTTAAGCTGAAGAGAAGCGGCGTCCAGATCGTACAGCTCACCTGTCAATCACACACATATACAGTATTTCACAATTTGACTGTCCAAAACTTACTGGTGTGTGTGTGTGTGTGTGTGCGCGTGTGTGTGTGTGTGTGTGTGCGCGTGTGTGTGTGTGTGTGTGTGTGTGTGTGTGTGTTTACCACACAGCTGTAAGATCTTGTGGTCGAGTTCTCTGTAGTCCTCTGGCTGTGGTTTGGGCTCCACTGGTGCATTGTGGGATTGATGACCGTGTGGCCGTTTGGAGCATCTCTGCACGTTTCTCACTCGCTTACAGGCCACGGTGAGCTGACGGACACACACACACACACACACACACACACACACACACACACACACACACACGCACAAAGATTTTCAGATAATGTTCATAATGTTTCTCCAGAAAGTGTCAATAAAAGATCAACCATCCTTATTTCAACATTATCTATCTATCTATCTATCTATCTATCTATCTATCTATCTATCTATCTATCTATCTATCTATCTATCTATATTATGCATAATATAATCTATATTGATTATATTATGCACAAGTGGAACAAGTTATTACATTTCGATGCAAGGTTATGAATACAATCATGTTTTTCCTTTCATTTGAACTCATATTGACATTAACTATAAAGCTCCGAACACAAAGAGAGGGATGAACGACATTTCCCTCTCTCATCTCAGTCCTTTGATCAGTTCTGACAGGAATGGGTCTCAATCCCTTTTTCTGATCTTCACATCTATCTTCATAAAAGAAACACACATAACTCTCTCTCTCTCTGTCATGTTCACTGTGTTTTCTGTTCGAGACCCGACACACACGCGCGTTTGCGAACATTACGAGGGCAAACACAGCTAATGGAGGACGACAGCCTCTCTCTTTCATTCCTCTGCTTCTGTTCTTCCGTCTCACAGAAACACGTCAAGCGTTTAATTAACAGAGCGGATCCAGAGACGCGACATGAGACTGAGAACACTGTGTGTGTGTGTGTGTGTGTGTGTGTGTGTGTGTGTGTGTGTGTGTGTGTGTGTGTGTGTGTGTGTGTGTGTGTGTGTGTGTGTGTGTGTGTTTCTTCACATCTATATCGGGGGTTTTAAAGCCACTGGATCAGAAGACACGACCATTATATCGTACAGTAAAAGAGAATATATCACATTAGAAACAGAATTAACTTTTATTCAACAAATCGACTTCTGCTCTTTCTTTCTCTTTATCTCGAGACTCTTTCCTTTCATTCGCGTTTCGTTTGCTCTCCTGTTCATAAGATGCTTTTAAAGCGTCTGATGTTAAATTGCTTCTCTAATCAACAGAATCAAAGCTCTGTGGAGTGGAGTGTGTGTGTGTGTGTGTTCGGATGATGGTAACATGATGAAAGCTTTTGGACCCTTATCACCTCAAATAAAACCTGAGGAGAACGAGGACGCTTGGCTTTTGACTCCACTGAGAGAAACACGAGGATAAGAGACAAAATACTAGAGCTGGTGCTCTCCGGACCATTTTACATTTGTTTTTGTTTTTTACTTCATCAGAATGGTACAAAACGTCCTCGGGTTACGACTGTAACCCTTGTTCCCTGAGAAGGGAACGAGAACTGCGTCGAATGACACTTTGGGGGAACGCCCCTCAGCGTAGCGCCTCTGAAGTATGAATGAAACTGAGCCGATCTCTGATTGGTGCAACTTCATGACGTGATGTGTGACGGCACATAGGCGGAAGCTATAAAGGCAGCCGGCACATATAAGATGTCAGCTTCTGTGATGAAGCAAGCGCTCCCAGGCAGGGGAAGGCGTGGCCAAGGGACGCAGTTCTCGTTCCCTTCTCAGGGAACAAGGGTTACAGTCGTAACCCGAGGACGTTCCCTTTCGAGGGAACTCCAACTGCGTCGAATGACACTTTGGGGGAACGAGTACCCACTACGCCACAACGCGCCCTGCCTGCCCTAGTGTGAAGCTGCTCACAGGCACACTTAGGACGCGAGCACAAGAGAGCCGGGTGTAGACGGAATGTCCAAACTATAAAACCTAATAAAGGTATGAGGGGTAGCCCATCCTGCTGCATCGCAGACCTCCTGGATGGGGGCCCCCGCGAGAAGGGCTCTAGAGGACGCCATGCCTCTGGTAGAATGAGCCCTCACGGCCAAAGGTGAAGGCATACCGCGCACCTGGTAGGCCGTGGAAATCGCATGGACAATCCAGTTGCTGATGGTCTGTTTTGAAGCGGGAAGCCCCTTCTTGGGCGACCCGAAACACACCAGCAACTGGTCCGACTTCCGCCATGAAGAGGACCTCTGAATGTAAATACTCAGTGCTCTGACAGGGCAGAGCATGTGAAGTCTCTCTTCATCTGCCGTCACGTGAGGTGGAGGATGAAAAGCCTGCAGAACCGTAGGCCGCGCCGCACTGGACGGCACCTTAGGCAAATAGCCGGGCCTAGGGTGAAGAATGGCCTTAATGTTGCCTGGAGCAAACTCCAGGCACTCGTTAGATATGGAGAGCGCCTGGAGATCTCCTACCCTCCTCAGAGAAGTAATGGCCAACAAAAAGACCACCTTCAACGAAAGGTTCTTGGCCTCAGCCGACTCCAGCGGCTCGAAGGGGGCCTCGGCCAGCCCTTCGAGAACCACTGCCAGGTCCCAAGTGGGAACCCTGGTACGAGCCGCAGGTCTCATCCTCCAAGCCCCACGGAGGAAACGTACGACCAATTGGTGTCTCCCCAGAGGCCCATCACTCAGAGGAGCGTGGAAAGCCGCAATGGCAGCCACGTACACCTTGAGTGTGGACGGGGTAAGACCAGTGGAGAAGCGATCTTGGAGGAACTCCAGCACTGAAGCCACTGGGCAGTTAACTGGGTCCACCTCACGCTCCCTACACCAAACGGTGAAGACGTTCCACTTTAAGCCGTACAATTTCCTCGTGGATGGAGCTCTAGAGCTGAGTATGGTCTCCACTACTCCAGCTGATAGGCCGGCCTCTAGGTACTGTGCTCCCTCAGGGGCCAGACCCACAGTTTCCATAACTCGGGCCGAGGGTGAAATATTGAGCCCTCTGCCTGTGTCAGCAGGTCCCTCCTGATGGGAATCTCCCATGGAGGGCCGTCCAGGAGCAAAATTATGTCGGAGAACCATACTCGGGCCGGCCACAACGGGGCTACCAACAGTAGACTGATCCCGTCGCGACGGACTCTCTCTAGAACTCCCGGGAGCAGAGCGATCGGGGGAAATGCGTACAGACGTAGCCTCGGCCACGTCTGCACCATGGCATCCAACCCCAGCGGGGCTGGATGGGTGAGGGAAAACCACAGTGGACAGTGGGTCGTCTCTCGAGACGCAAACAAGTCCACTTCCACTGGGCCGAACCTCTGAGATATTGACTCCACCACCTCGGGGTGGAGTCTCCATTCCCCGGGCCTCAGCCCCTGTCTCGACAGGATGTCTGCTCCCTGATTTTGACTCCCCGGGATGTATGTTGCTCTTAGAGCCAACAGTTTCCCCTGGAACCACAGGAGGATCTGATGCGCCAGTCTGCATAGAGGGCGAGACCTCAGACCCCCCTGATGGTTTATATAGGCCACTATCGACATGTTGTCTGACCTCACAAGGACATGATGACCTTTGAGGTCCGGCAGGAAGCCCCTCAGGGCTCGGAACACCGCCAACATCTCCAGGCAGTTTATGTGCCAGGAGGCATGATGGTCCTGCCATAGGCCTGACGTAAAGCGGCCGTCCATGACCGCGCCCCAGCCCGTGAGGGAGGCGTCTGTCGAAACGGTTCTCCGGCGACATGACGCTCCCAACACCGGCCCTTGCGACAGAAACCAGGCTTTCTTCCACATAGATAGGGAACGAAGGCATCTGCGCGTAACCCTGATCATGCGGAACGGGTTTCCCCTCGGGGAGAACCCCTTGGTTTTTAACCACCACTGAAGGGCCCTCATGTGCAGCAGGCCGAATGGAATGACACTGGACGCTGCCGCCATGAGCCCCAACACTCTCTGGAAGTGCTTTACAGTGATGGCTTGGCCTAGCCTCATCCCGGACACTGTGGTCAGGATGGACTCGATCCGCGCGGGAGACAATTGTGCCCGCATCGTGACCGAGTCCCACACCACTCCCAGGAACGTGGTTCTCTGGGCTGGTGTCAACACGCTCTTTTTCGTGTTGAGTCTCAACCCCAGGCTCTGGATGTGGGCGAGGACGACATCTCGATGCCGAACCGCCAGCTCCTGTGACTGTGCTAAAATCAGCCAGTCGTCGATATAATTGAGCACCCTGATGCCCTGAAGCCTCAGCGGTGCCAGAGCTGCATCCATACATTTGGTAAATGTGCGAGGGGAGAGAGCTAGGCCGAACGGAAGAACCCGATATTGGTACGCTTCGCCCCCGAAAGCAAACCTCAGGAACTTCCTGTGAGATGGAAGGATGGATATGTGGAAGTATGCGTCCTTTAGATCTATCGTGACAAACCAATCCTCGGACTGAATTTGACTCACGATAATGGGAATAGTGAGCATCTTGAACCTGAATCTCCTCAGAGAACGGTTCAGGTGCCTGAGATCTATTATTGGACGCAACCCCCATCCTTCTTGGGAACTATGAAGTAGCGGCTGTAAAACCCGGACTCCCTGTCCGGTGGAGGGATACGATCTATAGCCTCCTTTGCCAGCAGGGAGTTTACTTCCTGTTCCAATACCCGACCCTGCACTGGGTCAACTACAGTCCAGACCACCCCGTTGAATCTGGGTGGGCGGGAACTGAACTGCAGCCTGTACCCATTTTGAATGGTGCGCAGGGCCCAAGGAGAAATATTCGCCAGATTTTTCCATGCATCGAAATATTTTACCAAGGGAACCAGGCTCTCGAGCCTGGCTTCGGGTATTAATCGGGATTCGATCTCGGCCCCCTGAAGCGGATTCCCGGCAGGGCTGAACCGAAAACGATTCTCGATGGGCGGACGCGAATGCTGCCTGACCGCAAGCCTGTGGGGCGGACAGTGCAGCCTGCGTTCGCTGGATACCGATGTGTCCCGAAGCGTGTTTAACGGCGGGAGAGCAACATCGATTTCCTGCGGGCTCCGCGAAAGAGACGACCTCGGTCGCTCCACCACGGGTGGGGCCGCCCGCAGAGAACCTAGGCTGGCTAGGACCTCTTTGAGGAAGCCTTCAAACCCTGCAGGACGACCCTCAGGTCGCACTGTTTAGGCTGAGGCTTCGCCTGAGAGTGCCGTCTATGCCCCCAAGCTCCTTGAGGAGGGGCTCTAGAAGCGGTACTCTTTCACCAAAAAATACTGTTTTAATATTATTACAGTCTCGTAATCTACACGCTGCCTCGGCAAACGCGAGAATCGAGCGGTAACAATATATTTGGCTTTCATCCCTCGAGAAGAAAGTCAACAGGTGTGAGGCTGAAACATCCGACAGCGCATGGTTAATTTTGTAGGCCTACGCGTCGAGATATTTCTCAATGAACACTGCCAGCACCCTCAGGAGCTGACTGTGAATGCCTCGCACAAAACAGTATTATTTCCCTGTGTGTCCCTATTATTGTAGACTCGCAATCTACGCGCTGCCTCGGCAACGGCGAGATTCGAGTCATTCACAGTATATTTGGCTTTCATCTCTCGAGAAGAAAGTCAATGGGCGCGACTCGCGCGAGGCTGAAACACCCGAACACACGGCTGTGTGTGCGTCGAGATATTTCTCAATGAACACAGCCAGCGCCCTCAGGAGCTGATCTGTGCATGCCTCGCACCCACACAGAATCTTTATTGCAGAGTAGACCGAATCTACGCGCTGCCTCGACAAACGCGAGATCCGAGTCACTATAGATTCTTTATTGCAATGCAGACCTTAAATCTACGCGCTGCCTCGGCAAACGCGAGATCCCAGTCACAGAATCTTTATTGCAGAGTAGACCGAATCTACGCGCTGCCTCAACAAACGCGAGATCCGAGTCACTAGATTCTTTATTGCAATGCAGACCTTAAATCTACGCGCTGCCTCGGCAAACGCGAGATCCCAGTCACAGAATCTAATTGCAAAGTAGACTCGTAATCTACACGCTGCCTCGGCAAACGCGAGATCCGAGCCACTATAGATTCTGTATTGCAATGCAGTCCTTAAATCTACGCGCTGCCTTGGCAAACGCGCGATCCCAGTCACAGAATCTTTATTGCAAAAGTAGACCCGTCTACACGCTGCCTCGGCAAACGCGAGATCCGAGCCACTAGATTCTGAATTGCAATGCAGACCTTTAATCTACGCGCTGCCTCGGCAAACGCGAGATCTCAGTCACAGAATCTTTATTGCTGAGTAGACCCGTAATCTACACGCTGCCTCGGCAAACGCGAGATCCGAGCCACTAGATTCCATATTGCAATAATTTAGGACAATTCTTATGGGACAAACAACACCAAATAAGACTGACAGTTTGACATAGAGCGCTTGCTGAAGAACAGAAAGCTGACATCTTATGTGTGCCGGCTGCCTTTATAGCTTCCGCCTATGTGCCGTCACACATCACGTCATGACGTTGCACCAATCAGAGATCGGCTCAGTTTCATTCATACTTCAGAGGCGCTACGCTGAGGGGCGTTCCCCCAAAGTGTCATTCGACGCAGTTGGAGTTCCCTCGAAAGGGAACTTGGTAAAGGTTTTGGCACTTGCTGTGTTAACACACACAAAAAAAAATCATGGACATGATTAGAAAAAATAGTCCCACTTGTGTTTCTCGCGGTCAGAAATGGCGCATTGTAAATGAATGAGAGTTTCCTCTAGTGGAAGCGTGTGGAACTGCAGCCGAACACACTCTCACTGAACGCTCGTTTACTGAGAGATCAGACTTACATGCGGAACACCACTTGTTTAGATTTATGGCTTTAATTTTCTCACAGGTTTAGAGTAAAACATGCTTTTGAAAATATATATTTCATATAAAAATTTAAAATAGTATTTTTGCACATTTTTCTTAACAATAAATGTAAAATTCTGTAACTTTTTTTAAGTTAACTTTTTTTACTTCAGCAATAATCTGCCAAGTGTCGTGTTTGTCTTCAGGTCAGATCAAACTTCAGTCTATCGCTCTACATTTTCAGGTCTATGCTCAAAAAGTCAATAAATGGATTATAAACACAGCGTAAATATAGTTTAGTACTATAAAATACCCTAAAAATACAAAATATTAAACAAAAAATATTACCGAACTAAAAAATTGTACATTCATTTAATTAAAAATAGAAAGAAAAAAAAATGTGGTCATCTTTGACCGACACGCGAAGTGTACCAGAGGGTTAAGCTCTATATGTTCTGTGTGTGTGAGTGTGAAGTGTGTGTTGGTCTCGTGTCTTACGTGTTTTTCCAGGACGTTGAGGTTTTGTTCGTCTTGTTCTGTCAGCGCTTTACAGCAGAGCTGTTGAGAGAGAGACAGTGTGTCAAATAAATCACACAATACATTACTTCCCTCAGCAAACCACCTGCTCTATTTCTGCCAGCACTCACACACACACACACACACACACACACTCGTCCTCTGGCGATTCGCTCCATTTATTTTAGGGGTCACACTGTGACCTTTGACCCGAGTCTGTCTGCAAGAGTGCCAGAGAGACACTAAACACACACACACACACACACACACACACACACACGCACACATTTCCCATGAGACACAGCGGCTGATCTAATAGGACCAACACTAAAGGACTGAAATGAAGTGAAACAAGCTCTGATCCAAATACTGTTGAGAAACTGTTGAAATTAATAGTTTTATTCATCAAGGATGGATTAAATTGATCAAAAGTGACAGTAAAGACATTTATAATGTTACAAAAGATTATATTTCAAATAAATGTTGTTGTTTTGAACTTTCTATTCATCAAAGAATCCTGAAAAATAAAATGTATCACAGTTTTTACAAAATTGTGACTGTTTTCAACACTGATAATAATCATAAATGTTTCTTGAGCATCAGATCCTCATATTAAAATGATTTCTGAAGGATCATGTGACACTGAAGACTGGAGTAATGATGCTGAAAATTCAGCTTTGATCACAGGAATAAATTACACTTCCCTTTCAAGGGAACTTCGAGCTGCGTCAAGCGCTGTGGGAACGCCCCTGCGTTGTGCGTCATGAAGCACGTATGGAATCAGCCCAATGGAGAGATGGAACGTCATAGGCGGGTGACGTCATCGACCAGGAAACTATAAAGCACCCCAAAAACACAAGCGCATCAGCTTCTGTGCCTTCAGTCGCGCTATATGTGAATCTGTCCCTGTGTGAATGTTGTCTGTCCTTACATACTCTGCACCACACAAACAATTTATATTTTTGAGAGAGAAATGGTGGATGAACAGCAATTTAAGAAGTGTGTTCCTCCCTGCTCGCGTTATTTAGCGGGTGGGGATACACAGATTCTTTTTGTTGTTTGTCTGGGAGTGCAGCATGCCCAGTCAGCTCTCGAGGGAGCTGATTGTGAGCATTGCAAGCGTGAACCGCGAACTGCGTCAGGCTGCTGATTTATCCCTGCGTGCCACCAGAGAGTCGGCCAAGTTAGTGGGCCGATCTATGGCAGCTCTGGTGGCCGCAGAGAGACATTTATGGTTAAATCAGACGAATATAAAAGAAAAAGAAAAAGCTTTCCTTTTAGACGCTCCTCTCTCTCCACTGGGTTTATTTGGTGATGCTGTAAACTCTGTAATTGATAAATTCCAGGAGGAGAAAAAGCAAACAGCAGCTTTTAAAAAGTTTCTCCCTTTGAAAGTTCACGTCCCTGGGGCTGCTGGGCGGGAGCAGCCCGGCCGTCTACGGGCTCATCATATAGAGCGCAGCAGAAGCAGAGTGTCGGGTCTCGTGCTCCCCCTGCTGGACAGTGGGCTCAGCCGCGGCACTCTCAGCCGAAGTCGTCTAGTAATAGAACTGATCTGAGGACAGTTATATTGGCTAAGAAGGCTTCGGCTAAGAAGTCCTGACGCCACGGCGTGCAGGATACTGAGGGTGGTCCCCACCGAGGCGGAAAGGTGTTCACCTCTTTTTACGGTGCCCATTCTTCCTCAGTGCCCTCAGGGGTCCGCCGGGGCGCAGACGGTCCCAGCGAGCGCTTTCCCGAGGGACGCTCGCGCCCTCTGAGGAGGGTTTCAGAGCAGTCAGACCAGTTGTTCCCTGCCGGTGCGCCGTTACAGGACGCTGCGTTTGCTGCTCAAGTTACACCAGAGGCCAGTCTCGAGAGACTGGTACCCTTAGTAGATTTTCTGGCAGAGTGAAAAAGCCTTCCAAAAATATCTCATTGGGTCCTGCAGACAGTAGAGAAGGGTTATGCTATCCAATTCAGGTGCCGTCCACCAAGATTCAGAGGGGTTCTGCCCACAGTGGTGGGCCCCGAGCAGGCTCTGGTAATGGAACAAGAGGTGAAAACGCTCCTTCGAAAGGAGGCTATAGAACAGGTTCCTCCTCCCAGTTTGGAGTCAGGTTATTACAGCCGATATTTCATTGTTCCAAAGAAGGATGGGGGGTTGCGTCCAATTTTAGACCTGCGCTATTGAATCGCTCGGTAGGGAAGCTAAAATTCAAGATGCTCACTATCAAGCAGATCGTGTCTCAAATCAGATCCGAGGACTGGTTTGTCACGATAGATCTGAAGGACGCGTACTTCCACATTTCCATCCTTCCACAACACAGGAAGTTCCTGAGGTTCGCCTTCGGGGGCGAGGCTTACCAGTACAGGGTTCTTCCGTTTGGCCTAGCGAGCGTTATCTCGCATCCTCAATTACATCGACGATTGGTTGATTTTAGCTCAGTCAGAGCAGATGGCGGTTTGGCATCGAGATGTCGTTCTCGCTCATATCAGGAAGTTGGGGTTGAGGCTGAACGCAAAGAAAAGCGTATTATCTCCTTCTCAGAAGACCACTTTTCTGGGTGTAGTTTGGGACTCGGTTTCGATGCGGGTCGGAGATGCGGGTCTTCGATTCTCTCAGCTGTGAAACAAGTAAAGCTAGGCCAGCTACTCACTGTAAAGCAGTTTCAGAGATTGTTGGGTGTGATGGCAGCAGCGTCCAACGTTATACCTTGCGGCCTGTTGTACATGAGACCGCTACAGTGGTGGCTCAGGACCAAGGGATTCTCCCCGAGGGGAAATCCGCTCCGCACGATCAAAGTCACGCGGCGCTGCCTTCGTGCTCTGGTCATGTGGAAAGAAACTTGGTTCCTATCCAAAGGTCCTGTGTTGGGGGCTCTTTGTCGTCACGTACAGCTAACGACGGATGCTTCCCTCACAGGGTGGGGGGCGGTCATGAGTGGTCGTCCAGCCCAAGGTCTGTGGCAGGACCATCAATCTATCGTGGGCATATAAATTGTCTAGAGATGTTGGCGGTGTTTCAGGCTCTGAAACACTTCCTAGCAGACCTGAGAGGTCATCATGTGTTAGTTCAGTTAGACAACACGTCGGTGGTCTCTTATATAAATCATCAGGGGGGCCTGCGGTCTCGCCGGCTTTACAAGTTGGCCTGTCAGATCCTCCTGTGGTCCCAAGGGAAGTTACCATCTCTGAGAGCAATGTATCTTCTCCTGGGTGGACCTATTCGCTTCCAAGGAGAACACGTATTGTCATCTGTGGTTTTCCATCAGTCATCCACCCCCCCTGGGGTTGGACGCTATGGTGCAGCCGTGGCCGAGGTCACGTCTGTACGCTTTTCCCCCGATTGCTCTGCTACCAGGAGTTCTGGAGAGGGTTCGCCGGGACGGGGTCAGCCTACTATTAGTAGCCCCGTTCTGGCCGGCCCGAGTATGGTTCGCGGACCTGATTTCTCTCCTGGACGGCCCTTCTTTGGAGCTCCCGGTCAGGAGGGATCTACTCTCTCAGGCGGGCGGCACGATATTTCACCCCCGCCCGGAATTGTGGAAACTGTGGGCTTGGCCTCTGAGGGGGCCCAGCTCATAGAATCCGGTCTCTCAACCGAGGTTGTTGAGACCATTCTTCACTCCAGAGCTCCATCCACAGGAAGCTTTATGCCTTGAAGTGGAAAACTTTTCACTTCTTGGTGTGGAGAACACCTGCAGGACCCAGTTAACTGCCCAGTGGGTGCAGTGCTGGAATTCCTGAAGGAGCCTTTCTCCACAGGGTTATCCCCCTCCACACTAATGGTGTATGTGGCGGCACTAGCTGCTTACCACATCCCTTTCAGTGGAGTTTCTCTTGGGAGACACCCGCTTATAACCCGTTTCCTCCGTGGCACTTTGAGGCTGAGGCCAGCGGTTCGTACGAGGGTGCCGGCCTGGGATCTGGCCATTGTATTGGAAGGTCTTTCCCTAGCTCCTTTTGAACCTATCGAAGAAGTTCCTGAGAAGTTTCTCACTTTTAAAACTATCTTTCTACTTGCTATCTCCTCACTGAAAAGAATCGGAGATTTGCAGGCGCTGTCGGTTTCACCCTCGTGCCTGGAATTTTCACCTGGCATGGTTATGGCTTTTCTGCATCCTAGACCAGGTTACGTTCCCAAGGTCCCTACTAATGTTGTTAGACCTACAGTCCTGCAGGCTTTCTGTCCTCCTCCATTTATGTCATCGGACCAGGAGAATTTTTTTTTTTTTCAGAATATACTCTGCCCTGTTAGGCGTTAGACGCTTATGTCCACAGAGCTGCCCTGTGGAGGAAATCAGAACAACTGTTTGTATGTTTCGGGCCACCCAGGAAAGGGTGTCCTGCGTCTAAACAGAGAATGAGCAAGTGGGTGGTCGAGGCTATCTCACTTGCTTATGAGTCGGCTGGTCAGCCTTCACCTTTGGCTGTTCGAGCTCACTCTACTAGGAGTATGGCGGCTGCCAAGCTCTATTGTCGGGGTTTCCCTGAGTGATGTTTGTGATGCCGGCTGGATGGTCTTCACCGCATACTTTTGTTAGGTTCTATGACCTAGACTTAAGTTCTACCCCTGGGGCACAGGTGCTCTCGTCCTCTGTGCGCTAGTTCTCACATGACGGTCACTTGGTCCTATGGCGACGTGGGTATTCGCGTTCCACAGCGTTTGACGCAGCTCGAAGTTCCCTTGAAAGGAACGTCTCGGTTACGTATGTAACCCTAGTTCCCTGATAGGGAACGAGACGCTGCGTCGTTCTCCCATACTCCCCGGCATTCCCGTTAAGCGCTCCTTCAAGCCTATCAGAAGCTGATGCGCTTGTGTTTTTGGGGTGCTTTATAGTTTCCTGGTCGATGACGTCACCCGCCTATGACGTTCCATCTCTCCATTGGGCTGATTCCATACGTGTTTCATGACGCACAACGCAGGGGCGTTCCCACAGCGTTTGACGCAGCGTCTCGTTCCCTATCAGGGAACTAGGGTTACATACGTAACCGAGACGTTTTTTGATGGTGACGGGATGAATTTACATTTACATTACTGTAATTAAACTGTTATTGACAGACTTTCTTTCTATTAGAAGCTCAAATACGTGTTTTTCCGTTTTGTTGCCGTTCATCAGTAACCTGGGAAGTGCCAAACAATCCATAACTACCTGATCCGATACAATCCGTCACAAACGATTATTTTTGTCACCGCAATAAAACTTCTCCTGTGCACTCAAATATCTCATAAAATCATAGTTTTATAACTCAATTAGAAATAAACACTTTAATTGGACTAATGTCGCCTGTAAAGCCGCAACATTGGGCCGCTCGTTAAAAATAACGAGCTATAACATATTTCCACACGCAAAAAATAAACCCTGACATTCATTCGTCTAAACTCAGGATTCATTTGTTCAGAGCTGAAGAGGTGAAGAGAGAGAGAGAGAGAGAGAGAGAGAGAGGAGAGAGAGAGAGAGAGAGAGAGAGAGAGAGAGAGAGAGAGAGAGAGAGAGAGAGAGAGAGAGAGAGAGAGAGAGAGAGAGAGAACTTACCAAAATCAGCGCTATAACCTTGGCTTCTTCAAGGTCCACTAACGGTATGATGAGAACTAAAGAGAGAGAGAGAGAGAGAGAGAGAGAGAGAGAGGAGAGAGAGAGAGAGAGAGAGAGAGAGAGAGAGAGAGAGAGAGAGAGTGAGAGAGAGAGAGAGAGAGAGAGAGAGAGAGAGAGAGACGCTTCACATTCAATACATCTTCATTTATGTACACACTCATTTCAGATTCACAAAAACACATTTACAGTAATGAATCTAAAGGGAAAGATACTGCATGGATGTTAAATGTTAAAATAGTCAATTTACTGGCATTTGCTCACACACACACACACACACACACACAAAACACAACACAACACAACACAACACACACACAGTTTCTTTATGTTTGCTCTCTGAAGACTGCATTGTTACCCTGGTAAAAATAGTACTACATAGCGATAGTCACCATGGGAACTAGAAAAGAGAAAGAAAGAGTTTGATTAAAAACTGGGAACATCTGATGAAAGTGGGCTTATTTCTCATTTTAAGTTTTAATTTCTCACTTAAAACTTCTTACATTATCATATCGTTTCTTTGATTTAATGGTGCTGCGTGTAATCAGGTTCATTTGTTCACACAGACACACACACACACACACACACACACACACACACACACACACACACACACACACACACACACAGATTTACACTCTCACTCACTCACTCACAAACACACACACACACACACACACACACCTCGTTTATCAGGAGGCAGTGGTGTGGTCAGTGCGCTTCTGTGTTTCTCGTGTAGTTCTGATGACGAGAGACCGACACACACAAGTCTCTTCTGCTGGTTAACCGCGTCTCTGAAACACACACACACACACACACACAATAATGATCATCTTATCGCTTGAATGAATAAACATTTAATTGCACAAAAGCAAAAAATCAGTTACCAAGTTAAATGAACACTGTAATAACCCTGCATAAGCTGTTCCAACACACTCACTCGTGCGATTATAATGTGTGTGATTTTATTCTGTGTGTTCCTCTACATTCATCATGAAATACAGTGTGAGACAGATACTGTATCCCACAATGCAATGTTCTTAACTTGACCTTCCATTTCCAGTGCAACAAATAAACCGGAAGTAACATCAGCCAACATCTCGTTCTCGGATCATTACGTTACAACATTTACACACACAACCGGATCGAAATGCAAGTGCGCATTGTTTCAAAACCTTAATGAACTGCATTATGCATACGCCTAATATTTTAATTACATTTTACTTAATTACATTTTAAAACACAGAGGAGAGGGATATTTATCATGCACATAAACAATGAGAGTCTCAATTAGAGAGTCTCACATATTAAACTTAAGAATATGTATTTGTAAATAGAGCATATTGGTCACACTTTACAATAGGATCCCATTATTAATGCATTAACTAACATTAATAATAAACAACACATTTGTATTTATTAATCTTTGTTAATGTTAGTTAATAAAATTATATACTTTTTATTTAGAATAATAATAGTTTGTTATTTATAATTTATATAAAAAAATCCACATCCACATCCAAAAAGTTTGTGTTTACATAATATATGAAAAAAAATATATATATATATATATAACAGTATATACATGCAAATAATTAAATATATACATGCATATGTGTGTATTTATATATACAAAATAATTCTACACAGTACGCACTTTTATTTTGGATGCGATTAATCGTTGCACAGCCCTAAAAGAAAAATACTAATACTAATCTACCAAAAGATATCAAATGCAAGAGTTTTATGAACAATATTGATTCATTAATCATACACTATACTAAAAAAATGTATGTGCTATTTACTAAAAATGATGGTAACAATATTACACATGATATTTTTGAGTAGTTTTTAAGGCTTGGTTTATTTAATAGAATATACCTGAATAAATCATGTAAAATCCCCTAAATTATTTAGTGTATGACAAAATATATTTAATATTTTTAGTGAAATTAGTTTCTTTTTATTTTAACTAAAGTTGACTCTCAAAAGTATGTGATTTAGAGTGAATGGAAATGACCTGTTTATATTGGACTTTGAGTTATATTGTACAATTAATAGACCGTAATGTTGCTAACAAACCTGAAGTTATTGCTTATTGAACACAGCAACATGTTTCATATTATTAGTATGTGTAGTTATTCACAACATAACCATAAGCTCTACTCTTCAGACCAATGATAACCATCAACACTTCGACATATCAGACACTCTTTCAAATGTCAAAAATAACTGAACATTAAACATTAACAGATGTTTCCCTTTACTCTAAAACTTTCAATATTTACTTATTTTCCAGTGATGTGCAAAGCATGCTGGGAACTAACAACGCTGTCTCTAAATAAAACCGCATTATTGAACTAATTCTCTTAAAATAAATAGGTAGCCTTAAATTTATCAGCTTAATCGGATCCTGAATTCAAAACTGCGTAAGTTTCCTTAATAAAATAGGAAATGTATCTCTTAGTTGTATTAGTGAAATGTTCTCAATATTTTCTATACAACACTAAACCACAATTTTCTTAATAAATATATATATACTGTATATGTATAATTATTACCTTCATTTTTTTAATGAAAAATACAAGACCCATGATTCATTTTTTACAGTGTATGAATCAGTGAATCAGTGAGCCAGTTAATCAGTGAATCAGTGAGTCAGTGAATCAGTGAATCAGTGAATCAGTGAATCAGTGAGTCAGTGAGCCAGTGAATCAGTGAGCCAGTGAATCAGTGAGTCAGTAAATCAGTGAATCAGTGAGTCAGTGAATCAGTGAGTCAGGCCACTGGAACGAACGAAGTGCCGTCGCAGTGCACTGGTGTTTGATTCTCAACACGGACTCTGCAGGGAATTAAAGAAGGAATCAGTAAAAGAGGGAAAGTTTGATCTGTTCCACTTTAAAGGGCTTTAGGAAGAAAGCAAAGCACAGCTCCAGCTGACGGGTTTCCCATCATGCACTGCTTCTTTACAGCCTGAGCTATTCAGCTGCTGAAAACCAATTTGCACCCTGTCTCTCTGTGTGTGTGTGTGTGTGTGTGTGTGTGTGTGTGTCTCTCTCGTCTCTGACCTCAACCTGAAGTGTGTGTTGAAAAGATAAAGGTCCAGAAGTCTGATTACAGGCTGACCACTGCCGGACCCTTTTAAAGAGGTTTTACACTCATTCTGTGTGTGTGTGTGTGTGTGTGTGTGTGTGTGTGTGTGTGTGTGTGTCTCTCTCTCGTCTCTGACCTCAACCTGAAGTGTGTGTTGAAAAGATAAAGGTCCAGAAGTCTGATTACAGGCTGACCACTGCCGGACCCTTTTAAAAAGGTTTTACACTCATTCTGTGTGTGTGTGTGTGTGTGTGTGTGTGTGTGTGTGTTTAGATCTTTGGCGAGGACATCAATTCCTAAAAGGTTGAACAAACACACAATTTCTCAAAGAACATCTTCGTTAAAATCAACATGAAATAACATGAAATAACGCTCACTGATGTTACGTTGTTATGTGACGTATTAAAACGGTTAAATTCGTTAACTACAACTTTTACAAATATTGAAACTTGTTAATTGGAATAAAAATAAAATATGTATAAATATTAGATAAAAACATTAAGCAAAAATAAACTAAAACCAAATTCTGTTACACTTTATTTGAAGGTGTCATAGTTACAGTGTAATGATATATGTATGTGCTGAGTACCGGTAATAATAATGAACATGTTCTGACTATAGGGTTAGTTGCATGTAATTATGCATGATTTACTGTTATTACTATGGTAAGTACATGTAACATGTGTAACAAGGACACTGTAAAATAAAGTGTTACCCAAAATTGAAAAAATATCTTTATGAATTTTAATTTACAATATATAATATAAATAAAATAAAATATACAACAAATTATAAATGAAAACTAACAAACTAAACCTATTTAAAATATTTTTATTTGAAATTTAAAACTAAAACTAAACGAAACTTAAACATGTTGCCTAGGCAAATATTTGAAGTAAGTTTAAGCTATTATTAAAAGCGTGTTGGGTTACGAATGTAAGCGTGACTCTGATTCCCTGCGGCAGGACCGGCGTCTGAAGCTGTCCGGCGACGGCCTATGACATCACTACTGCTGCGACCAGAGGATCACAGGGCGCCTGTACTACACATCATCCACTGACAGGTCCCTATGGCCAGAACACAGTTATTGTACTTTATAAACTTTTAAATATGGATATATTTCTTACACTTCAGAAGGCCTTTATTAACACCCCGGAGACTGTGGAGCACTTTTATGATGGACAGATGCACTTTTATGATGGACAGATGCACTTTTATGATGGACAGATGCACTTTTATGATGGATAGATGCACTTTTATGATGGACAGATGCACTTTTATGATGGACAGATGCACTTTTATGATGGACAGATGCACTTTTATGATGGACAGATGCACTTATATGATGGATAGATGCACTTTTATGATGGACAGATGCACTTTTATGATGGATAGATGCGCTTTTATGATGGATAGATGCACTTTTATGATGGATAGATGCACTTTTATGATGGATAGATGCACTTTTATGATGGACAGATGCACTTTTATGATGGACATATGCACTTTTATGATGGATAGATGCACTTTTATGATGGATAGATGCACTTTTATGATGGACAGATGCACTTTTATGATGGACAGATGCACTTTTATGATGGATAGATGCGCTTTTATGATGGATAGATGCACTTTTATGATGGACAGATGCACTTTTATGATGGACAGATGCACTTTTATGATGGATAGATGCACTGTTATGATGGACAGATGCACTTTTATGATGGATAGATGCACTGTTATGATGGATAGATGCACTTTTATGATGGACAGATGCACTTTTATGATGGATAGATGCACTTTTATGATGGATAGATGCACTTTTATGATGGTTAGATGCACTTTTATGATGGTTAGATGCACTTTTATGATGGACAGATGCACTTTTATGATAGATAGATGCACTTTTATGATGGATAGATGCACTTGTATGATGGATAGATGCACTTTTATGATGGACAGATGCACTTTTATGATGGATAGATGCACTTTTATGATGGATAGATGCACTTGTATGATGGATAGATGCACTTTTATGATGGACAGATGCACTTTTATGATGGACAGATGCACTTTTATGATGGATAGATGCACTTTTATGATGGACAGATGCACTTTTATGATGGATAGATGCACTTTTATGATGGATAGATGCACTTTTATGATGGACAGATGCACTTTTATGATGGATAGATGCACTTTTATGATGGATAGATGCACTTTTATGATGGACAGATGCACTTTTATGATGGACAGATGCACTTTTATGATGGATAGATGCACTTTTATGATGGACAGATGCACTTTTATCATGGATAAATGCACTTTCTATAGATGCACTTTTATGATGGACAGATGCACTTTTATGATGGACAGATGCACTTTTATGATGGACAGATGCACTTTTATGATGGATAGATCCACTTTTATGATGGACAGATGCACTTTTATGATGGACAGATGAACTTTTATGATTAGACAGATGCACTTTTATGATGGACAGATGCACTTTTTTGATGGATAGATGCACTTTTATGATGGACAGATGCACTTTTATGATGGATAGATGCACTTTTATGATGGATAGATGCACTTTTATGATGGACAGATGCACTTTTATGATGGATGGATGCACTTTTATGATGGACGGATGCACTTTTATGATGGACAGATGCACTTTTATGATGGATAGATGCACTTT